GAAGTGATGCCACATAAATTGAAGCATGTTGTACATTGGCTGGAGCCCAAGCGCTTGAAAGTTCGCATTATCCGAGTTTCATACGGGAGCCCGTGGATACGTCCAAGAGAACTCGGCACTTTAATCCGTCAACTTTAATCTTTAGTCTTCGATACGTCATTATTTCGCGTCGATATTTTACAAGTGGCCGATGCCTCTAATGAGCGTTAATATTTTAAAGCGAAGGAATCTGTGATAACACCGCGACTACGACAAATTCGCCGATAGTAAAATCGATTTTATAAAATTATCCGTCTAATGAAATTACGAAGATTGCCGGATCGTGACTAAAGGTGTTTAATACTTCAGTGCGATACCGTGTGAACTTCTAATAAAATTATTTATTTATAAGTTGATCGAGGCTAACGCCTTTGCAAGTCGAATAGAAGTGTGAAAATTGTCATTTGTTAGAGATCGAAAAAACGCGAAACGCGATCAATTTGTGTTTGTCATATTCAATTATATACCGGTTATATTTAACTTGATATTAAAACCCTCGCGGCTTTATAAAGCCGGAGCGTAGCGGCCACCGGAGTCGCTACCATCTAAGAGGATTCGTCGTTCCTCTTCGACGATGGTCGTTGCAGAGGGTCGGGACGAATTTTGCCCGCAGCGGCGAAGTACTCGAGGGGATACGCGCGGAAAACGCAGACGAATTCGCGGCACGAGCCGCAACAATCGATCGCCAGGACGGCATGGCACTTTGGTCGGACGCCTCTTTGGGGACGCGCCATTGTCGCGCGTTCCCGAAGAAAAGAGAACCGAACCGGAGAATCGTTTTCCACCAGTCGCACCGGTCGGAGACGACCGTTTTTGCCGATTTTTACCTGCTGCAGAATGCAGCAAGAAAGAGCGTGATACGACGCTCGGCACGTTGAGCGTCGCGGCGCGGTGGGATTCAAAATGTGCCGATTGTATCTGTTGGTGCCAGTGACCCCCTATTGATTCCACGCTCAGCGAAGCACAGACCAGACCCTCTCGTTCCCACCCGCCCTGCCACTCTCGTCCTCGGCCTCCCTCTCTCTCTCTCTCTCTCGCCTTCTCCTTCCCTCCCTCAGCCTTCCCCCCATATCCCCCCCCTCTTTCTCCTTCTCTCTTTCTCGCGCCATCGGCTGACTCTCTTTCGCCCCTTTGCCGCCGTGTCTCGTTTCCTCGTGTTCGACCACCCTCTGTACGCCCACCCACCCCTGCCCTCTCGCTCCCTTACACGCTTACGCGCGATATACCGCCCGCTCACAGCGGTGTCCCACGCGAGCAAGCCCGACACCGGTTTCACCCTGTAGTAGCTGCCAGCCGACTAACCGACCGACCAGCCTGGGCGAAAATAATTTTAACTTTGTCACGAAGACCGCGTAAAACTTGCGTTCTACCTGCGGTCGTCCATACGCTGGCTAGTATTCCGCACGTTGGCTAAGTCGGCCGCTTCTCTCCCCTTGACACAATGAAGGCGGGATTATTAACGGGGCTAAGCGTTACGCGTTGCTTCGTTTTTTTTCTCCCGGCGAGTCGGTAGACTCCCTTGAAAAAGCGGCGGAGACTTTAGAATTTCCAAGACCCTTGAAAGATCCGTAGAAAAATACGTCTTTTCCTTTTGAGAGACTTTCGATCAGCACTTCTTACACATCTATTGTTCCACGGAAGCCATTAATTTTGTTATCGAGTTGCAGTATTTTGCACCGCCTTTGAAAGTAAATAATTGACTTAAAGCGTCGGATTTTTTGATCAACGAAAATCGGATCAATCACCTTCTTTTACGATTCCTCGATATTCAATATTAGACATCATCAAGTTCTGAGTTCTTGACGTTCTGCTAAAGTTTACATGATATTCAATATTAGACATCATCAAGTTCTGAGTTCTTGACGTTCTGTTAAAGTTTACATGATATTCAGCGACAATTAAAGTCTATTTCGTAATTTTTAAAATCTTGTAAAAATATATTCAGTTAGAATTTCAAACAACTTTTATTATATATAAACATCATAAATCGCGTAGGAATCGATCCGCACGCGGCTGAAAAGAGAGAAGCGTTCATAATTTCGAGTCCGAGTTTTTTTTTTTTTTTTTTTTTAAACTAAGCAGATATGTGACTCGTATGATATATCCCACATACTCTATCATTCTATCCCCGCGGAGACACGATCATTTTTTTTTGTTCCGAGCAGACCTCTTTAAGCTCTTTAAGAGCTACGAGAAATTTGTTTGCGTCCAATATGGCGCCTGTGATAGAGTTCGAAAACAGGAGCAAGTCGATAGTAGCCGCGTAGTAGTTTCACTGGAAATCGCACGACGAAGAGTTACTGGGACAGCCGGTCTATACATATGCCATTGTCCCTTCCCCGGCCGCTTCTGAACCCGCGTTAAACTGCAGATCGTAGATTAATGGCCAGTAGACTACGTTGAAAATGGGGGGGGGGCGTAATCATTTATAGAGCGTATTTCCCATATTTTCAAGAAAGCCCGCTACCTAGCCTCGCTACCGTTTTCGATCTTTATTACGACAGCCATCGGTCTATAAATTTGTGAGAGCACTCGAAACCACATAGGTTCTACTTTATTAGATCGCTACTTTTTTATGATTCCATGTTGAAGGACACACTCGCTACATTTTGTAGAAATGGAGTCTCGTGGAAATTCGAGAGAAGGATACGAACGAAAAATTAAAAATTTCTGTGTGTGTTTCACCAAGCCGCTAAACGCGACGCTAATGATGGATGATGATCAATCATCCACATTTCTCCCTGGATACGAGAGCAGCGAGAACTACGAACGTTTCTCTTCGGGTAAAATTAGCTTTGCAGGTGCAATCTTCCTCTATTCTGGTAGGTGATCACATGTCCCATCATATATGATGGAAGATTCATGGAGGTCTCATTGTTACATAGGCGAGGTTGAGAGGCTGGTAGCGTCGTCGGTTCGTTCATCCCGCTTCCACATAGGCGAGAGCGTACTTTTATCACTGTCGAGGAACGGAATGCCCATCCCCAAGTTCTACGTGCATAAAGTCTAGATTCTACGGCACAAATTATACGCTATTTGGGCCAACGTACGCTGCTCGCGTGCTTTCGTAATTCCGGCTGTTTCGCGACCGGCTACCAGAGAGAGAGAGAGAGAGAGAGAGAAAGAAAGAAAGAGAGAGTAAATTCGATTCTTTTCTCCCAAGTCACGAAAAACGATATGGAATTCGACATGGAGAAATAGATATTGCGTGGCGAATTCTATTTTTGTACAGCGTACTTTTGTAGGTCGCACTTCGTATTACGCAAAAGTTATGCAGCCGTTTGCAGAATAAATCGCGCTTTCCTCAACAGCCACGTACTTTCCTCGACGGCATCGCTCGTATTATTATCGCGAACTTTGCTTTCGCCCGCCTTCCATTTCTCCACCGGCTTTCAATGGGGGAAATTCTCAGACCATGGAGACGAGGACTGGGGAGGGAGGGGTGGGGAGGGGGGGGTGAATGGGTAACGTGTAACGTGAACGGATCCACGTGGCAGTCTCTCGTTTAGAAAATGCCACGTGAAACGACCGACGGGAATACGTTACCTGTCGGATGCCGAGCCGCGGCGGATGTGCGAAAGGATAAATCGAGTTTAGCTATGCGAAACTAATAACGCCGCGTGCCTGTCCGGCATTCGCTCGGAAACGGCGCCGTTCCTCGCGCGGACGTGCCCTCCCCGCGCGGCGAGGCCGATATATGTATGATGTCGGGGGGTCGTATAATACAAATTAACGGAATATACGGTGTCTCTTGCATTCACGTACGTCGCCCTGCCATTCGGCGTTGACTCATACACGAATGAATTGGAACGCCGGTGACTCACGCACGCGTACGGTATCTCCTCCCTTCAGAATGACGAATCGGGATATGTCTTCGAAAAAAAATTGGATTATTCTCGAGAACCGAAGTCGACTCGGATCCCCTGAATTTAATCTTCAGTATATATGGACATTTGAGTACGTGAACCCAGACGGGAGGAGGAACGAGAGTAACAAGAAGGAAAGACATTGAATATCTAGCTAGAATTTTAGTGAATTTTGATGAGTTAATAAAAAAGGGAATTAAATTTCGAGTAATAATTCCCGTTGTTGTAGTGCATTATTTTCTACGCATGTTGAAATTTAATTCTTTGCTTCTAATTCCGCTTGTTTAATTCCTTGTTCCTTTCATCATCGTGTCTGGGCCCTTAATTCCCTCTTGTTCAGAAATCAAAATGTTCATTTACAAGCGCGACTATGACGAGACCCTTCCGAGACCCTTCCTTCTCATTTCCCATCTGTCTCTTAAACTATAATTCTCGTTTCTCTTATGTATACGCGAGACTGAATGCGCAACGTTCTCTGTGCATGGGTTTCAAAGTGGATTGAGCCAACATCCACCGCCATCAGCACGGTTGAGTATGCGGGGCGTCGACCCGTGGAATCTTCATAAGTCCCGTGCGGGAAAAGTGCTGTTAATTAAAAGCGTAAAGTTCATCGCGAGTAAGGGGCGCGTTGAACCCGACGAGACTTCGCTTACATCGGAGTTACTGCATACAATAAATTCGGCGCGGAAAGTTCGTGGCGGGGTTGGTTGGTTGGCTGCGCATAACGGGCGCTGCCCGGAGTAATAACTCGAGTTTCGGAATAACTGTTTGCTCGCAAATTTCCCCGCGAGGAGAGGAAAACTTCCGGGGCGTCCGTCTCAACAAAATACGAGATCATTGCGAAATGAAAGAAAACACGCGACAGATAATTATAGTCGTCCTGTCAAGGATAATTCGCTCTCTCAAAGACAGCCGGACTTCCGGAATTGCTATTTTTGCCCAAACTCGCGACTGATTCTGCAGTAAATTTTAGACACGTACGTCTTTTACGTTCGTTTTCAAAAATTGAAAAGGTTGCTTTTTGTATGAATTTTAAATTTGATATTACAAGAGATGCTTCTTTTTTTTTTTTTTTTTTTTTTTTTTTTCTTATCAAAAGGAATATTTTGTCAAAATTTCAAGGTGGAGATTTCTAGGTAGAAATAATATCGAGAGCGATGACCACGTGTCAACAGCTGTCTCTTTCGCGTAATCTCCGATAACGTTGGTCGCGCGAGAGAAGCCAGCCGGCCGCGTCTCGTGCGGACGTTATTACGGTCTCTGTGTCTCACCCCGTATGCATCACTGACCCAACCCTACCGCACGCGGTGCTCCATCCCCCCCTTTGAGCACCCCCCCCGCGGCTCTGTATGAAGTATAATACTTTCGTGGTGTCGCGGGCACGAGTGACGGCGCGGGTTGAGTGGCGCGTTGTTCTCGCGCTAGCACGACCTCGTTAGAGCAAAGGGAAGAGCTGGATTTTTCATCCGTGTACAATAGCGCGGCTCGCGAAACTGCGATATACACACATTTCGACGATGACCTCTTTAGATAATTCGAAAACAATCCTTTTCTACGGAGAATTTAGAAGAGTCATAGCGCGAAACGTACGCGTTAAACGTCTCAATCCTCAAAAACTTTTTTCCAAAATCTTTTCTTTTTTTTTCCCCCTCTATTTTGCAAGACAGCTTGATCTCCGAGAAAAGAAATAAGCGCACGCTGCCGAACTACTTTGCACGACACAGCACGTACACGGCGAATAAATAGATTGGCGCAGACAACACACGCGAGGGGCGACGTTGAGGGATACGAGGAGGAACGCGCATCCTCACCTCCGTCGTTTCTACATGTACATATCTCGAAATGCGGAATGCGTGAACGTTCGCGGCACGGGCATCTCGCCGCATTTAATAGTCAGCGAATTTCTCTCTCTCTCTTTCTCTCTCTCTGCCCGCAGAATGGACATCCTGCTGCGAGACATGAACGCGCCGTGGCGATGACAAGCCTGATCTTGGAGAACGCCGACTTGAATCGACTCTTTCCGAAATGCCGGCCTAGGGGCGGCCCACCCCCGGCCCCGGGGGCCTCCACGCAGAGCAGCCAGCAGCAGCCGCATGACAGCCCCTGCCAGACGGAGGCCGCCGCTATCGCCACCGCCGCCACCGCCGCGACCGCCGCAACAGCCGCCGCTGTCACAATCGCCTCTACGAACACGTCGACGAGCGCCTCCGCGATATCGGACGACATGATCGACCTCGAGCGCGACACCTCCGACAGGCAAGTTAAACCGATTTATCGAAGAGAGACATCGGGCGAGGATCGGGCTAATCGGGCTAATTCCGGAAAGAGAAAGAGTCGGTGGATAACGGTGATTTGGCATCTCTCGGTAGGCGATTTAGATTATGCGGAACGCGTTTCTGAAATTGGCATCGATATTTTAAGGACTCGTTTTACGAAGCGGGGAAGGAAGGAGAGGAAAATTTATATATGTACGTATATAGCCACCGAGCGCGCTCACGAGAAATATAACGTTATACAATTACACTTTTTAACAGTTTAATCACATTGTATCATTTTCTCGTAACAAGCGGGTTATTAATGACGTATGAAAAACGTTATTGCCGCGTGCATTTTTTATACGGTTTTATTTTACCTTTAAAAGTCTCTCGTGGCAAAATTATAGGACGGTTAATTACATAATTGAGGAGATAAATGGGTCACGGGTGTGTGCGGAATGAAGATGAAAAACCGCATCTCGTGAGAAGTGTAGAAAATAATTAGATTTACGAGCGAATACGTCGCCCGTACGCTTTGAGAGTAAAATTTTTCTCGCCGACTATTCACGGCGATTCCAAAATTGTGGGAGAAATGAGGACGGAGCCGGCATTACTCCCTCCCCCCCCCCTCCCCCTCACCTCTCACCCCCCCCCCCGTCACTCCGTCGAACTCCTCAATTACGAAAATGACCAACACACCGTTCGCGTTTTTCCCATCGTAAAGCAATGGCACGCGAGCGTGTTTCTGCGCTTTTCGTTTCTTAATCATACTTCCTCCCACTTCCGACTGCCGATTGTTAAGAGTGCCGAGTTACGTTCGTAGGTATAGGAAACGAGCGAATGGCAGAAAAAATTCAGGTTCGCTGTCCCGTAGGACGGCGAGCGTGGTGCCCGGTTTCACGGTCGAGGGCCAGCTGCCGCACGCTACGAAGCCGCTTTCGTCGAGTTCCTCCTCGGCGTCCGGACGCAGCGAGGACGCGCCGCAATACGGCAGCCTGCCCGGTAGCGATCATCAGGGACAATCGCAGCAGGACGACAGCGGACCCGAGGGGAGTCCGGTGTACATTTTGACCTCGACCAAGGGAGGTCCCAGCTATAAGCTTCGGGATTCAAGGTAATTTGAGGACCGCCGAGCAATCCGCTCGGAATGTAATTAACTCGACAAATACCGACCGTCCGGTTTATTTATTGCCAGCGGAAAATTGTAATTTACGCTATAATAACAAATAATTAATCACAATGAATGACAATTCAGAATTATTTTAACCAACGTTCTTGAAATATATATATACGAAGACATTATTGCGAGACATTATTGTTTATAATTATTTTTCTAAAGGATATTTAAAGGAGACTAGAAATTTCGAGTCAAGCTTTTAAAATACAAAGTATCTTTTTCTACGTTTCCATAATCAATACGGAAAATTGGCTAAGTCAGAAATCACAATGATCCTGCACTGTAATATACCCTAATAATTTATCGAGAGATATTTTTCAATGTATCAAAAAGGCAAAATTGGTTTGAACAACATTTGTGATTCAGGTTGCACATTTGCAGTCGGTAAGCATCTACTATTCAGTTGACGTTTTTTTTGTTTTTTTTGTTTTTTTTGTTTTTTTGTTTTTTTTGTTTTTTTTTTGTTTTTTTAAGTACTTGGTACGTACTAAAAGTATAAATACAATTCGAATAATTCGCGTACTCTAAAAAGACTACGGTTTCGATGTTGAAAAACGGACTGTATTAAAAAAGAAATTGAAGTTAATTGAGAGGCGTTCGAATTACCGAGCTAAATCGCGCGGAGGAATCGATAATGGGCGGCAAAACACCGAGGTGTGCGAACACTTGTGTACACGCAAAAGTGTGTTACACGTCGTATCGCGACGTTAAATTCGAGCGCGCGCAATGAAAAACGTGTCCGTTGTCACGATGAAAGTCCATTTGACGTTCGGTCTTTGTGTATCTATGGTGGGACACGAGAGCGCCCGGTTTCGCGATAGCCGATATAGTTTCTACAGGGTTTCCACAGAGCCCCGACACACAGCTGAGCGGCGACCGTCCATGTATATTCAACGAGGCGTTAATTTCAAGCTTAATATCGGCGATATACTCGAGCGGAAATGTCACTCAAATATCAACCTCTCTCTCTCTCTTTCTCTTTCTCTCTCGCGCGCGCGCGCGCGCCTACCATTAATATGTGTCGCTTACCATGGGCTGTATTCGATGTATAGCAAACAAGTCAATATGCCCGCGACAGTGTAATCCGTCCGGTAAACATTTTTCCCTCTCTTTCTCCCGTGTGACTTCTCACGAGACGGAACGTTTTCGACATCGGCGATAACATCGCGCGACTCTTTGTAATACATAGCGAACAAAGTCGCGCGGGTTTCTCATCGAAGGATCCGAGCTTCAATCCTTTCACGTCCAGTGGGACATGTCTCGGTATGCTTAAAAAATTCCATCTCCGGTAAACATCGAGTTGTCAGGATTCAAAGTTCACTTTAAAGAAGCTTACTTAACTCGAAAAAAAATATTTGATAAAAAAAATCGTGGTAAATATATTGTTGTAAAATGTAAAAAATTATTTCACACGTACACACATACGGAACGTCATTCGACATTTTTGGGGGGATTAATCATGGAAAAGTTTAACGTGGTGGTGATTACTTATATTAAACATCAAATATTTAATATCAATTTTTGATGACATTTAACAGTAAGAAATTATAAATTATAAATGAAATGCTCGAGTTTCTTGGCAAAGAAATATAACGATGATATTGCTTAAAATATGTATTGATTAAGCGAAAACTTTTAGTTCTTATTATTTATAATATACATTTTTCGTTACAGGAAAAAAATAATTTTGCTGAAGTATCTACAGATTTGATCAGATCTGAAAATAATGTTGTTGAATCAAAATAATTACGTAGAATTCTTAACTATGTGTGATGATAATATTGCAAAACTTTTGAATATTTTAATAATAAACTTGGATATCTTATTTAATTGTTTTGATGATTCAACAAAATTATTTTTAGATATGCTTTAGCAAAACTGTTCTTTTTATATACCTTTTTATTTTGCAACCTTGGAAATGTTTTGTTACAAATTTTCGACTCGTTGCGTTTGTCATATTGGCAGTTCGCCATTTTAAATTTTCCGTCTTGACACCATTTTGACATTTGTCATTTTGAATTTTTAAATTTCGATCCCATTTCGTATTCGAAACTCCAAAAAAAAAACTCCTAACAATAATTAACAATCGAAAAATTCGAAGAGATGTGAAAGGATTAACGTCTCATATTTACGATACATACAATTTTTCATACATATCTCTTGAAATGTTTCGGTATTATTTCTCTGTAAAGCATAACTACATATCATCCTGACAATAAATATGCCTGCAATAAATAAAAGTGTCCTGACGCTTTTGTGAATGGAGAACTTCGCAAGGAATTTTTGCCGTGCTATTGGTTTGTCATTACTAATCGCTAATCGATTGGCACTCGAAGCGGCTCGCTTATCGACAGTGATAATCGGTACGTAGGTAGATGTGCAAGTACCTTTTATTCCCCCGATGCTCGACGTTCGATCCGAATTCGCTCGAACGTGATCAACGAGCGCGGGATATCCGATAATTTCAGATTACTCCGTGAAGTTGTCAATTATCGATGAAACTTGACGCGCGAAACGCAAGTTTCAATTTCCCCATCGACGATCGTCACACGAGTGACCGAAACTGCCGGATACCCGGGGTTTTTTAAATCCTTCCTCGTTCGTATCCACGAATATATATCCGCGAGCAAACTAACGGAGTTTGACTCTTTGTCTTCATCTTAAAACGTCCTCAGATTTATCATCGCGTATACATATTTTTTTTTTTAGGGGGACGTCGCTGTTCGTCGCGGCGTCGGCTCGGTCGGCTCGGGGGGGGGGGGGGCCGACGATCGATCTCGATCCGCCGCTGATCTTCGATGTTGATTTTGTAAATCATCATCGAGAGGCGAGATGATGATGATGATGCGGCGTCGCTCGAAGGCGACGGGAGCGCTTCCAGATGGTCGACGCGGGAGTTACGGGCTTAAAAGTCGCGCCCGTTTTTCTCGCACGCGTGCACAACGCACGTCTCGCCGTCGTGAGCCCCGCGCGCGCGTGTCAGCGTGAGACCCGAATGAACATTTTTCAATAAAGCATTCCAGGTGCCGACGGGCGATCGTTACACTCCTGAGGACTGACAAAATCGGTATACGGTGAGGATCGGCTCGGCGCGTCGAACGGCCCGATTAAATGCCATCAACGTGTAATGTAAATCACGGGACGCCCCACGCGCCAGTTTTTTGGGGTTAACTCCGGCCTGTCAGACGCGTCGCGTTTCGCTCGCCGTGGCTCGAGCCACTCGCCACTCCACGTGCGCGAGGCATTTCGAGGACGCGAAACAGCCGAACGAAACAGCCGTCGCGCATCGGCACGGCGTAGCGCGTTACGCAAACATCGTCGGATCTGACGTCAAAGATTTATAACGCTTCGCCTCGTATCCGAGATCCTGACGAAGATTTATTAGAAATGAGCTCGCGTGGAACATTTTCGTATCGCGAGTCCGCGTATCCGTGAGTCATCTGTTTTGAAAGCGGCTTTATAAACGGAATGCTAAGATACACTAGAACTCGATGGGAAAGTTAAACTCCGGGATGAATTGGAGTCCTACGAGTCCTGTGTTAATCTCATGCGCGTGAGGGAAACTTTGATAAACATTGAGCTCAAGTGAGAGATCCGAGGATCTTTTACTCGTAACTTGTATACCACTTGTCTATTACTTGATTTACACGAGATCACTGTAATCGTAAAGATCGCCACAAGTAGTAATGATACGATAATTCTCATATTGTCCCTACAGAATTATAGAAATCGCTGGTGGTCGAGAAGTGTTCTCGCAGAGCCGAGGGAAGGTGGCAGCTAGAAAGTCGCGATTTCTGGCTGCGTCGAATTCCATAAATAACGAGGATATTCAAACTGATAATAAGCTGTCTGTTAAGAAGAATAATAAGTCTCCTAGCTCGCAGACCATATGGGAGTTACGAAGCCGGTAATTGATTTATTATTCTATCAGTTATGTCAAGCTAGTCAAGTGTCCTATAATCCTGTTTTTACGTTCTACAAATTTATAAATTTTTTTCAGATGTGGTGAAACTAGGAAGCAACGTGCAAATCGAGAGGTCACAGAAACTGTGTTTGCCTCCGAGGTACATTCGGTGCGACGCAACGCCGCGAAATCCATTCTCGATTACGACTCGCCCAAGAGCAATCGCAGCAATCGCATAATCAATTATGATTCAATCTTGAATAGCAATAATGTAGAATATACCGTACCGAAAAGTATTACCGATCTGGATTATGGATTACCCAAGAGTTGCGTAGATTATCAGTCGAATCACAACACACCCGCGAGAAGCATGGCTATCGTCAGCGATGGTGAGGTTGTGGTGTTCGATGATATCGATGACAACTGGCAGGGGCTACGGCTGGATTTGGCGTCGAATAATACGAATCAGATCACGACGACGAGTCTAGATCTAGAGACGGATGATTCTCAGAGAGGTCGTATTGCGCCGGAACCGCCGAGTTCTAGCGTCGGAAGTACTCCTAGTCCTACGACGGCATATCATCGCAATACTTCGGAATTTTTCAAAGTAATATTGTTGTTTAAGTAGATGCGTATAATTGCAAAGAATTCTCGACTAATTTAAGTCCATTTAACTACAGGTTGTTACACCAGCGAGTGATTGCGAGGCGGATTCTCCTTCTCCAGAACGTAATCATAAAGTCGCGAGAGTAATTGGTGAATTACCAATCGCTCAGTATTCCGGTAGCCCGAGACGTTACGGAGTTCGCGAAAATGCACAGCTTCCTAGCTTGTTATCGTCACCTTCAATGTACATGACACCGAGGCCTGGTTTCCCGCAAAGAGTATTGCCAACAACACCAAATCATAATGAGGTAAAAAAGTTATTTATATAGACTCATATGATTTAACAGTCTTTAATATTCTGTCAATGTGTTTTATATTTCAAGAAGGAAGATACTTCTGCAGAAATCGTTATAGACAAGACTGTGATAGAAAATATTAGCACTGAAGATCAGCCTATAAATCCTTCATCTCCATCACCAAAAGCTGAAGAGGAAGAGGAAGACTCTTTAAAGCCGTCGACTTTACCTGCTGATAACATAAGCAGTCTTGTCTCGCCAGGAGGTAGTACTTTCGATTATCTATACGAATTTTCAGAGACACGGAAAGTATTGGAGGAATTCTTCAAATGCCCGGCGCCGACAAAAGAAAAGGAAAACAATATAGAATCCTTTCCTTTCCAGGTGAGTCTTTGCGGAAATAATTACATTTATGAGATGTTTTTATATCAAAGAGATATCTGAAATAGAATCAAGAATTTACATCTAGAAAACATAAAAATTTATAATTAGAAAAATACTTACATGAAAAAAATCTCAAAAATATGTATGCATTTGTAATATATGTATGTAATGAAGAAGAAAAATTTGTAAAATATGAATGATTAAAGAATGTTACTCTCCATTGCAAGGATCTTGATTATGAATTGCGAAGACAAGGAGGAAGTGCATATGTTGGCCAGCGATTAGCAAGTGGTCCACCTGTGACAGAAGAGGTTATGGTACATGAATCTCCTAAGAAGCAACGAACAGAATTTTCACAAAATGTAAGTGTAAAAATAAATAAAATAAAAAATGTTATTTTGACAATTGCTTTTTTTCTTTGTTTGAAGATTTTCCTTAGATTAGTTTTTTTTCTCTCTTGTATCAGTAAAGTTTTGCATTAAAAAAAATAATATTTATTTATATAGATTCAGGCAATAAATAAAAATATTTGAAATGTAAAAATAGTTTTGTTAATTATTGAAAAGTACTGAAAAGTTAACTTATATTAATATTTGGAATTTATGTTTCTTCTACTAGTCATATATAGAGAGATTCTAAATATAAATCCATATTTATAGAGTAACATAGTTACACTGTGTTTCTTGAGCATTGCTTAACAGATTTTTTCATATATTGTGAAATAAACAATTAATTACGTTTGATTCTTTTTTTGCTCTTTTTAGGCAGGTGAACACGAGAACAATTTTCTGGATCTCTCAGTAGGTACCGGTAGCAGTGAAGATCTTGGAGAGACTGAAGTTGGCTTGCAAGTAGGACACTCGCGTAATTTTACGCTGAGTCCCGAAACAACCGACTGTGACAGTAATTGTGGTGATTTAGACAGCGAAGTATCCCTCATGATGATGGATAATGAATTGATGCCGGCAAGTGGCCTTCTCGGATCGGTCGGCGATTTGGGGAATAATTCGGATTCCCTGAGAATATACACTAGCATGCCGGTATTAGAGGACGGTCTGTCTAGTGGACATGCGAGCGATACTGACAACAATAATCCTACTGTGATGCTTATGAAACGGCAAATAAATGAAATAGAAAAGGAGATCATACAGAGAACTCGTAACGATATGTTGGGCACGAATGAGAATGACTCGGGGAAAGATGTTAGTCTAAATGTAACAAAAGATATTTTACACACGTTGAAAACTACATCTCCCGATCTGTTTATCGCGAAGAAGGAAAATTCGTATGACACGAACGAACTACAACTCGATGGATTGGATCCACTGGGCACACCGCCACCACCGGCACCTCAGGGACGACAAAGTGTAACCTTGGAGGTAAATTGTGGCGAGGTAGAAGCGGCCATCAAAGACATCAGAATGGCCCTACAAAGGACTAAAACTCTGCCTGTGAAATCACCATCGGAAGAGCCGCCGGAACCGAGCGTTAGTCCGATATGGATACCAAGGTATCTTATGTTTTATTTTATGTGAATAAGGGTATTCCAATTGTTGAAATCTGTTCGATATTTTGTCTCGGCATTTTCGCTCGCCGCTGTGAATGTTCCCTTTTTATAACATCAAATTATACGTTTGGGATACCCTTCGGGATATCCTCTACGTTGCGTGTAAACGCATCTAACTAAGATGCAGTATAATGGATGGCAGGCGGAGAGTCTGTATGGAAAGCAATAGCGAAGAATCTGATGCGCGTCGTATAGGTGACGAGGTTGATGTGGAAGTTGAAGAATGTCCAGACGAGGAAGAGGCAGATACTGATCTTGAAACGGATCGGTTACTTGGACAACAAAGAACAGACGATCAAGGATTTTATGATGACAAGGTGAGGATATGTTCGATGCTTAATATTCCATTCGATTGTATTACTTTTATTGACCATTATAGTCCTATTTCCTAAACAAATATACTCAAATAAGTTATTGATACTTGTGACAAAAAATCATACATACATTGTCTCTCTCTTTACAATTCCCTGTTAGGTAATATTGAAATGCATTAATGCATTTAAATTTAGGAAAGAGAAAGGATACGAATAATCTACATTTTCCTGTATTCCACGCGATTCAATGGTATTGGCGTTCTACTAATATCATCTTGGTATTATGCAGGGGTGGAGGAAGCCTAAGACTAGGACTATGTTACCACCAATGAATGCGAAAGTCGCTACTCCAAAGCAAACCCCTCCCAAAACCTTGAGTGTCGCCCCGATAGAAACGCTAGCGCCTTCCGAGCCTATACCCTCGACATCTGCCTCGATCTCCCCACCTCCTGTAGTGTCTGTTATACAATCGTCGTCTTCTAACGAGTGTGAAGTAGCCACTCCCGCGCAACCTACATCGAGTCCGCAGAAGACCCCAGTCAAAAACTCTCCCTCATCCCCTCAGAGCCTCAAGGAATCCAACAACAAAGTGAAAAAGGTGCCCTTTCAAATGCTACCACGGAATCTTTTATTAGAGGCTCTAGATATCTATATTTCTAGTGGGCTTGTGGTAAAATAGCACATATTGGTGCATGACAGTACTATCCTTTTGTTGCTAAAATTGATGTCAGCTTAAATATAATTTATGTTATATATTATGTCATAATCTACTAATCCAAATGTACGTTTTATAATAATAGTATATAGATATTCGATAATTATTTATGTAATGATTTGAGCACAATGAATTTTATGAATCTAATTCATGATATAATAGAAATAATAAATATTTCTCTTTTAAATATTTCTCATAATAGAAAAAATAAAATATTTCTCTTTTTACAGTTGATAAGTATTTAACAAAAATGTTTAAGCTGATCTTTTTTTAAAAGAAAAGGTACTTTTTTTTATCCTATTGCTTTTGCTTTGGGCTTCTGCTTATTATGCTTATTTTTATTTGTAACAGAAACATTGTCAACGTTATGTTTATAAAAATATTGCGTATTATATCATCCATATCCTTTACCCACAAATAGTGTAATGATAAGAAAATGCTTTATATAGGATAATTTTTAATTATATATATTTCAAAGAAAGGAGTCTAGAGCCTAAAATAAGAAAAAAATACATGTATAAGTTGTTTAAATTTTATTTATACATTATATGAAAATTTTTTCTTGTTTAGACTCTAAATTTATTCCTTGAAAATTAATATATAATTAAAAATAACTTCATTTCTCCTGTGCTTTATAAAATAAAATAATTATTATAACATGTGCTTTGGAAAAAAATATAAATTTGCAATAGCATTTAGTGCTCACTCTATTATTATTATAATTATTACTATTACTATTATTGTCACATTGTTTCTAGATGTAAATAAGGATATGTTAATGTTTATTAGCTTTCTTATATGGCAGTTGCTGCATGGTTAGCACTTTCTACAGCTTAACTGATTACATACATGATATTTACAAGATTACGGATGCATTTATCAAAGTTTTATCTATACTGTCATGCAAACTGTATTGTCTGTTTTATTTTTCAGGATAAGGAGGGAAAGAAAAAGAGCAGAAACAAGGAAGGTACTGTCATACTTTTATCAATATAATTCAATAGTATTCTTATATTTTCTAAAGATTTCAATTTATGCTAATGCTTGAAACTAATTTTTAACATCAAAATAGCTAATACGATCAAAGTTGATATTAAATAATAAAAGACTTTTGAACACATAATCTATTTTGACATTAAAGTTCAAGAGAATCAAGCATAAGCATTAAAAACATTTTAACAATCTCCTATCAGAATATTATTATTGATATTTTAATGCTAATGTAATATTTCTCTTTCTATTGCTTTCTTGGATGTATAAATTCGGCATCTATCCCTAATTGTTATTTTATGGTAGGTATTTTTTTATATATGCATATATATATTTTATAACAATTAGACTATTACAGTTATATATTAAAAAATAATGTTTTAAATTATATATTAAAAAATTATATATTATAATTAAAATTATTTAATTTGAGAATTTATTATTTACTTTAGTACATAATAAGTAATATTTAATGCTTTTATAGTGCTTTTTGATAATCCAATATTTTTGTCTGATGCACGTATAACAACAATTTAATACGTGTGATTTTTTATCAAACTGTAACTGTCTTCAAATTTAGTATATACATATGTCATGTAGATTTCACTCAGAGATTTGATATGTTCAGATATTTACATCCTTCTATTTGTATTTCCCTGATAAGGTTACCAATTATATTGATAAGCGGTGTATTGAGGAGTCTCATCTTAGAGTGTCATAATCTTTCAGTGAATGTGAAAGACAGTTGCATTTTACGTGTATAATCGTTTATCACATTTATACATAATCGTAAATCAAAGAAAATTAGACGCAATTTCGGTGTAAAAAGGATAATAGGATCCACAAAATTAATTGACCTTTGTGAGGTCAATCGGATCATAAAACCAAAGATTTTTATATAATTTTACACCGCATGAAAGTTCTAACATTAATTGATGAAATAAAATGGAACAAGAGAGTCTATTATTGGATACTGCCATCATGTTATCTGTTGGATTACCCCAATGTTCCTTCGAGCATTTAGCCGCCTTTGGCACTCTGAATCGTGAGAAAGATGAGACAAAAAATCCTAAATGGTATGTATCTGTGCCGCTTTCAGACTTACTGGATGATCCATCAGTGTTGATCGAGGGTGTGCTGTTCCGCGCGAGGTACTTAGGTTCCACGCAACTGGTGTGCGAGGGTCAGCCAACGAAGTCGACTCGCATGTGTCAAGCGGAGGAAGCCGTTTCCAGGATAAAGGTACATATACATATTTTTGTTATTCTTATCTTGAAATTGAGATATACTATTCTTGAGCTGATATTATGTACGTCGATTGCGAGAGATGTGTATATACAGATTATATACAGATATGTGTATATAAAAGCACAACTTATATATCTCGTGTACAAATGGAACACGTATACGAGGACACCTTTTTTTTTTTTTTATTTTACTTTTTTTTTTTATTTTTTTTTTTTTTTTATTTATTGTTTATTTTTGCGAAGCATCGAAGAAAGATCATAAAGAATTATCGAGTAAATCACTTTGAAAGCCACGTGTATTATTTTCCTAGAATGTTTGTTCTCAAGAGTAACTACTAATTAAGTGAGCATATCTGATAGATAATGCATCCACATGATATGTTGTGTTCTGTTTAGATCAGTAGAAATAAGTTTGGAAGGCGCATTATATTAGATCAAAACAAATACGTTAGAGTTTACACGTTGCGACTTAGATGACTATTGACCCAATTATTGACTTTTTGATAACTGTTAAAACGAAACTCGGGAATATTAGAAAATCTCTTAGAAAGTGTAAAATTGTTTCAGGGACCATTAGAACTAAATTATGAATAATAATAACGAAATTAGCAGCATGCTCTGAATGCTTTATACTATTTTAATTTGCTACTTAATTTGTAGTGAATAACAATGCAATATTCTCATCTGCAATAATGTATTTCAATGTTAAAGTAATTTTTAACTTTTTGAGGAAATCTTCGAAATTGCAATATCTTGATGCGATCGCAAAATGAGCGCTGTAAAATATTGCGAATAACTGTAACGACTGTAAGGGATTTGCTACGCATCTCAAACTAGCGCATTTTTATCAAGTGTAAAATATTTCAGTGTTATTATTATTTTGGGATATTATTAATTTACCTCAAATGGTTAAAATGCTGAAATCTCAAGTGATTAGTTAAACCTGAGAGTTTTCTGTAGGAAAGAGTACTGTCATACTAAATCGCGTCTTAAGACTCGTATGTTTTTATGTTAATTCCATAAATGATAAAAAATTTTATATTTCCTTTCCCTTATATTTCGATTTGTATAATTCATATTTTTAGATATAATGACACGATGTATCTTTTTCCTTTTAGTTAGTTTTTACAATTTACTGATCAATCTTTCAAGAAAACTGTTAATTAAGCAAACAGTAAATTCTTTCCTCCTACTCTTAGGTTCTGCTCATGAGCGATCAAACGTCAGCATTTAGATAAGATAGATCACTTTTCCATTTGTGGCCTTGCAATAATTGATTAATAGCGATTTTTTTCTACACGATGGTTTATCATTGCAAACTGAGACGACTCTTCCTCTCTCTCTCCCCCTCCCCTCCCGGGGGGGGGAATCTAAATGCTGATTTATGTCTATTTATCTGATACGATTAATCTAAATATAATTGTGAACTGGCCGTTGTGCAAAGAGGCCTGAATGTTTCAGTGTAGCGCCCCCCTTCCTCACATCACCAACACCACCACCACCACCACCACCACCTGACCACCGAACACTGTCATCTTCTCAGTGTAACTTTAATGTGATTTCTGTCTATGTCTGTCAGTCTTTCTTTCTCTCTTTCTTTCTTTGCGAATATTTGGTTTATATATATCTGCTATCCGCTTGCTATGTACGCTTTCCCGTAGATTCTTGGTCGATATACATCACGCACAAGAAATTTGTGTACTCGCGAGAGATGTTGGTCTACTCACTAACTATGTTCTCAACTCTATCTTGCGAAAAAATTTGACAGACTCCTGTGTAGCGAGGCGATAAAGAGGAGGGAAATTGAGAATGTGAAATACAAATCTAGGTGTAACCATGATGGCTCCATTTGAAGCAAATTTCTGGGGAACTGCGAGATATCTCACAAAATATTTATATTTTTGAAATTATGAAAAGATGTGATATATCTGTATTGTATAGAATTAATAGTCGGATGATATTACAATATTCTGACATGATATATAAGGAACGTAATTAATGAACATAATTAATTACTTGAATACTTGTATTTTATTTGTTCAATCCGATTAATAGAATAGATAGATAGTTAAATATATTTTTTATGATTATTATTCACATATAATATACACTCACACATGAAGTGAGATTTATAGTGACGTTGAGTAGACCAGAATTGCGGTTTTTTTTTCGCTATAAGAATATTTTAGTTGCGTACAAATCGAGAATTGAGATAATCAGAAACGTTTTCGTGATTTCTAATTTATTTAACAAATTATGGCATTGAGAGCAAGAGTTGCAATCAATTTTTTTTGATAGCGTATGCATGATAATTTGTTCAACTGCAAGGCTGTTAAGCTGTGTTGCAATATAGACAGTGTAAATAATAAGAGAATGTTAAAGAGAGACTTGAAGAGTACATCTTAACGTTCTGTAAAAATTTTTTGGCGATTGTTAAATTACAATTGGTACTGTTCAATTATACATCTGATACAGCTTTCCAAGAAAGTAAAAGCTTCTTAATGAGCCGCATTAAAATTTCGCGCTTATTTCATGCTTTCGAATGACGCCGACAAAAGAGCTTTATTCACTCTTGCATCTGGATCTGGATACGTTTGCTTTGTAAAAAGACACTTTTGAATCAAAATTAATAACTGTTATGGAAAATAATAATTCTACTCTCCGGTCATTGGCTTGTAATTTTCTTTGATCTTTTCGTTTTTCGAGATGACAATATTAAGCGATATTAGCAGATCGAAAAATTGCTCGATTGCTCATTGCGATAACAGAGCCCTATCGTGCTTCGAGTTCTGAGTTGCTGGATACACACCTAGAGACCCAGGCAAACCAGCCAAACGCGCAACATCGTTATTAATACGTTTGATGAATTAATTGCAGCGGATGCCCGCTGTACGCCCGTTCGTCGACTTTGCCATTCTGTAAACGCTTGCACGTTGCACAGCTTCCAGACACACCGTGAGCTTGCTCCGAAGGAAAAAATTGCATTGCAATGAAGGTCGCATCGTGCGCAGAGGTGTATGCTACCGGGCTATATAATGCATCTATATGTGTGAATGAACCTGTTCCGGCATACGATAGAGGACACAAGCATGACCGTTGTGCATAAGAGACAAGTAAAGCCAGTTTATTTTGGTCGTATAGCAACTCAAGAACTCATGAACATTGGCTCTTTTGCCTCTCGTTCTGTCGGTGGTGTGCGTGGCGATGTGACTAGCAGAGCCTTTGTTTGTTTGTTTGTTTGGCGCGTACATTACGGAAGGATGATGGGCCGGTGCCGATGCAGGCAACGCTCTTAAACTATGGGGGGCAGCATGGGTATGGTCGCTGCAGCATTGCCTCGCAAGGAAGCCTAGAGGAGGACGAGTGCGACTCGAGCGAAGAACTTATAGGAAGCGCTTCTGGTGGGGGCCAGTCCGAGTCGCAAGCGCTTGGGGCCCAGCCGAAACTGGCCCCGATCAGTGGCTGCTTGGGGCCCACAACCGTTTTCAGACTACAGTTTCTCGGGTCGGTGGAGGTGGAAGAGGAAGGGGGACGTAAACGGCGTAAGCGCCTTAAGAACCACATGGTGGAGGAGGCTGTGACGAAGATAAAGGTCCGCCCTGATTGCCCTTCATTCCAAACAACCCTTCGCCGTTTAAGTCCGACCGACTGCCCTTTGACTCCTACAAGAGCAGAGTCCGTTCGACCGTTTCATCCCTCTATTGATTTTATGTAATACCGACGAGGGTCAAACCTCCTTACGGCCATTTCATCTTACGACTTGACTATTTGTTTTACATACCTCGGTCACGGAAAACTCGCAGCAATTCAAGTATCATGCACTTTTTGAGTTACGAAACCTGTGTTACCTGCATACAAAATGCACACCCCCCCCCCTCACACGAGTCATCATAGCGAGACGAAAATCTCTTGCAAATTTAAATGTTGCCGTCAAAGTTAGGCGATTTTTATCTCTACCTTTCAAACTCTCAGGTTTGTGATAGCGCCATTAATATGCTCAACTTTATACAGTTCACTCTGTCGTGCACTACTTATTTTATTACAAGTTAAGCGCCGTACGTGTTCAAAACAAGTTCTGTAACATTATATTCAATTATTTGTGTATATACAACTATAATTAATTACTTGTTTATCTCTACTTTGTCACACATGCTGCTTCCTTATGGTAGGCGCTGGTACGTATATTCTACATGCAGATAAACATGTAACATGGAGATATATAATGACAATCTTCTAAAAGGGATGTTGCGTTCCTGTAGGCACCGGACGGTGACACTCAGCCAAGCACGGAGGTAGATCTCTTTATCTCGACGGAGAAGATCATGGTTCTCAACACTGATCTGAAGGAGATCATGATGGATCACGCGCTACGCACGATTTCCTACATAGCGGACATCGGTGATCTGGTAGTGCTAATGGCGCGGCGACGTTTCGTGCCCCACGAAATGGAGGAAGTACCAAAAATCAACCGTACTCCGAAGATGATATGCCACGTTTTCGAAAGTGAGGAGGCTCAATTTATAGCACAAAGTATTGGACAAGCATTCCAAGTAGCTTACATGGAGTTCCTAAAGGCAAACGGGATTGAGGATCATAGCTTTGTTAAGGAAATGGATTATCAGGAGGTGCTCAATTCGCAGGAGATATTCGGCGACGAGCTGCAGATGTTCGCGAAGAAGGAGATGCAGAAAGAGGTAATCGTCGGAATGCGGAATCCCGTTTTTTACCTTTTTCATTTGCTAATAATTGGATAGAAAACGCGTTTTGCATTCTATAATTTGAATAGGATGCTGCGGCTTGCCACTCATTTGCCGAGCTTGTCTAAACTATTAATGAATAATCGATCTTTCATTGAATGTTCAAAATTGAATTAATTCCAGTCCAGTTTTCCAGGAGAACTATGTAACGAACTATGAGACGAACTGGATTATCGCGGTTGACATAGGGAAAATTTCGTAATCGCATGGGAGTAAAGTTTTCTCTGCTTGCAGGTAGTGGTACCGAAAGCGAAGGGAGAGATCCTCGGTGTTGTGATCGTTGAGTCCGGCTGGGGCTCCATGCTGCCAACCGTAGTCATAGCAAATCTTGCGCCGGCCGGTGCCGCCGCGCGTTGCGGTCAGCTTAACATTGGCGATCAGATAATAGCGATTAACGGTGTATCGTTGGTCGGCTTGCCTTTGTCCACGTGTCAGACTTACATAAAGAACTCGAAGAATCAAACGGTCGTCAAGTTAACTGTCGTGCCGTGTGCACCTGTCGTCGAAGTGAAAATCAAGAGACCCGACACGAAATATCAGTTAGGATTTAGTGTACAGAACGGAGTGATATGTAGTCTATTGAGAGGTGGTATCGCCGAGCGGGGCGGAGTTCGGGTGGGCCATAGGATAATTGAAATTAATAATCAGAGTGTTGTTGCTGTACCGCACGAAAAGATTGTTAATCTTCTGGCTACGTCAGTGGGAGAGGTACGTAAACGCACTCTAGAACTCGAGCAATGGCTTTTCTACGCACGTGTTTTTTATTCGATCGTATGACAATATCAGGCAGCGAGATTATATATAATAATTATATATAGGTAAGAAAAAGGAATTGATTTATTCTTTTTTAGATTTTGATGAAAACGATGCCCACGTCGATGTTTAGGCTATTGACCGGCCAAGAGTCTCCGGTGTACATATAAAAAGCGTTCAGTTGCCTGGCTGATGCGTAGTGAACAGACAATACATCCACCATCCACTACCATACTATCTGCTACTATCTTTACTGTACAGGTTTATTCTATGCAAATCGCTTTGTGTTTTCGATTCTTATGGGACGATTCGATACATTTACCAGCTCCTGCTTAGTAAACGAGACCTACATAGGTACGTCGCAGAAACGTTACTAAATATCTACTCAAGCATAATTTATATGATTATCGATTATTGTATAAGAGATATACGTATAGTACTAATCAATGAGATTCTCTATAACATAAATATATTTCTTGAAATCTTGCCAGATATTATTTCCGATATATGTCGATGTTGATATTTGATTTATTTGCGTCTGAGCGATGTAAAGATTACGGCGAAATTGCCGCGATAAGTATTTGATTTGTTACGAGTATCTAGCGATAGAAGGACGATAGAAGAAAAAAAAAAATATTGATTTTCAATACACAACACAGTGGATGTTACAGAGAATCGCATTATTCGCGCCAAGGAAGATGATAGGTGATGCAAATGATGCAGTTGCACATGATTATAAATAGCACAAAGCTCTTTAGCAACAGCTGGAGCAGAGCTGGAACTGTATATTACGTAGTTTAATGACGTAGTAATATTTATAAAAAGGATCTCCCTCTATCTCTGGAGATACTTGAAGCTAAAGCGTTTATTTAATCTTTTTTATCTTTAAGGCCGACGAATACTCGCGGCGTGACACCCCGAGTGTATTAATTTGTACTAAAATTACTATCTATCGTAGAAAACTTCGGACGCGTAAATCTCGTGATAAATAACGTCATAGTAATTATATAGAAGAGAGTGCAGAGTAACGTATTCTATACGAGACAGATTTTTTTAAACGATTAGATTAATTCGTTTTGCAAGATATTGAGCTGACTTTTGGTAACGAATGATCATCGAAATGTCGCTGAACAAAAACGTTGACTCAGCACACCATGTATGCCTACGTACCGCTTTATCGACATTCTATTCTATGATATTATATCCATCTGTAACGAAAATGAAATCATAACGCAGCATATTCACCGCGTGATATTATTCTTAAAGTGAAAATATTTGAAAGTCCTTCATGCTTCATAAATGATTATCATTCGCGAGAAGATGACCTAAGAAAAAAAGAGTTTTGTTTGCTTCGAATAAATTGCGATGTCCGCAAATGCACAATTTTAATAAATAATTTAGAATAATACTTGTTTTCGGAAGAGATATGCGACTCGTCTTTTTGTTTCTCGCGAATAATAATCAACTATAAGCTTGCTATCATCTTGTTCCCGGTATATTACATTAATTCGCTTCTTCGATCACGCGTTGATAAATATTGAGAAGTGACTGTGCATATTTAAAAGTTCAGCTTTCATAAACATAAGATCGATTTAGACACTTTACAGTAAAAATCTTCGAACTTTCGAACATCTTACGTCTTCTAGCTCTCTCTTTCTCTTTCGATACTTTAGAAATCTCTACGCTTTCGCGCTCGATTTAAATAGAAATTCAACATCTTCATCGGATTCTTGACTCTAATTAAATCTGAACTCAGAAAAAATCATGGTATAAGCTATTTTGAAATGAAGCTTTATGCTGATAGCATTATAAATGTCTGTCAATTAGATATCTTTGTCTTTCGAAATTTCACGCCATTTCAAAATAATACACATCTATTTTAAAAGTGAAATAACACTTTTAGGTAATCTCATTTTGTAAATTCTTGTGATGGATTGGCGAGGAATGCTTAAAAAGCAACTAAAAATCTTTCTATCCGATTTTGCAGAGTAGAATTATTTTTAATTCACTTTCCGCGTTCGGAAAAGTTCAGCTTACAAAGATAGTTCTAGTAGTTAATCGTAGAAAGGCTTATGAATGGCACCTTATCAACTTGCAGTAAGTCTTCATTCACTGTGTATAATACTTACATGTAAAATATGTAAATTCGAGTCTTAACGTAGTTTCACTGCATATAGGCATGCAAAATGAAATCTAGCTTCTCCTGACTTATAACTCCCCGTCAAAAAAAATTTCTTCTAAAATATAACAGACTGATTCACATCTACGTGTAATCTAATAAGGTAAAGAAAAATTACTTATTCCAGAGAGTGTAACTCTACAGTCGTACACCGCTAGAGCAAAGACGAAAACGTTCTCTTCTATATAAATACTATATGCCATAATAATCTAAGTTTTATCTATTTTTGCTGAAGATTTCTCACCTTCGAGCTACTCTGCTTCAAATATCAAGAAGTGTGCGATGACAAACTTTGAGATTCCTGATGTCTAAAATTTCAATGCCAAAGTACATTAAGTAGACGGCGGGACAGTACGCATAAATTTTCGGCAAACTGAAAGTTATTCAGATTTTCTCCGAGAATGTGCGATTATTTAAAGAAACAGATCCTAATTTGCAAAAGCAATTAAATCTATATCGATTTAATTAATATTACCATCATTATTAATATTGTGAAGATGTACAGGACGTTTAAAAAGAAAGCATTTACAGGATTAAATAAATAGGGCATTTACTGAATATTATATAAAAGATGTCTAATAAACGTGGAGAGAGAAAATCATCTTACAAAGATACAAAGCAATTATACTTATATCTATAGAATAGATTTTTCAAGCTATGTTAATTAAACATCTTTCGCTCAATTTAATTCTTCCTTTTTAAACGGCCCGTGTAGGTCGTAGAACTTGTGTTCACGTAGTGTTGTAATAATATCTATTGTAAAGAAAAAGTCATACGTAAATTTGTTTTAATGACGACGAGCGAGGAATTAATTTTGTAACAAATAAACTAGAATTTCATTTTGAAAAGTTCAACATGCATTATAGGCATTTTTTCGCTTTCTTGACGTAACAAACATGGATTATCATCTAAATTTAAGTTGACTCTTCGATCGCACTTTGATATCTGATTGAAAGAGATCTCTGATTTGCCGTAGATATGACATTTCATACGGAACAATTCTCTGCGAGGCACGCGAATAGAGAGCATGTATATAAAGATTTTTCGTTATCTATAATACCTAGTGATGTCGAGATGTACGTAAATCGGTGGGCACGAGAAAAGCCTCGCGAGGATGGTTACGTGTGAGAAATGTCACATGTATA